AAAATCAGAGTATATATTTAAAGAAATATATTGCGGAATTTTTCCCCAGAAAAACATGATACATTTATTATCAGTGGATTTTCGAAGAAATGTATTTTGTTCATATTAAAACTTTGGGATTTCATCGTCAATACAGAAACATAAGCATAAACAGAACATACATTCATTTATATAGGAATCTACATATCTTTGAATTTGTTGGTGTGGTGTGGTTTTATATCGACACCTGTGATACTAAAAAACTCAGCGGGTCAGGTTGGAAAACCTAGTGACTACATACGGTATTCACACTACTAGAAAACAAGCCTTTAATGACGTGCTTTTTACGACACGCACTGATTAATGATACGCAAAAGGACGTGCCCTTAAAATAGTGTTATCTCTCCAAAAAATTTAAGGATTTACGTCACGCATTATTGCGTGCCCTTAATTTAGTGTCTCAAGAAAAAAAATAATAACACGGAGGGCGGTTTATCTTAAACGCGCGTCGTCTGTACCTGTCGCTTTATAATTTTAATGAAACGCGCTTTTAGTAGACAAGGGGGGAAAGGAAATCCCCAAAATTTTGAAAACCTGCCCGTTTTTTCTATCTTCTATCTATTTTTCATCCTTGCAATCGACTCACCCCTCTGATACTCTCTCCTCTAGATCTCCCTTCATTCTCTACCTCCCGTATCTCTGTAAACCCTAAGCCATCACCACCTCCCTTCTCTCTAGCACGTGGTAGGGTTTTATTTTCTTTCAAGCTTCTGCTTCTCTTGTTTTCTCTCAACCCAGTACGTGCGAGGGTTCGAAATAACTGAGCAAATTCAAACAATCATTCTTCCATTTCAACTTATTTCAAATCTGGATCATCGGGTATTTTTTTCAAATTCCTTTTCCGGTTTTGTTCACTTTCAAAATCGGAATGGGTCCCGTTCTTTTCTACTTCAATACTCTCGATCTCAACCGGCTTTTCTTCTTCCACTTTGTCTTCTTCTACTTCTTCTAACAATGGTGGTTCCTGCTCAGGGGTAACCTCGACAATATGCAATTTAAAAACCCCAAATAAGTCGAATTTTTAGGTATAGGGTTCTTTATCTGGAAGCGCAAGGCCATCTGCAATCAATTCAGCTAATCTGAGCTCACAGGTACATGTTATAGTCAACAAATTGCCATCATCATCTTTGTATTTTATCAAAATAGACTTCCATTCTAACACTCTTTCGTTCCCCCCTTCCTTCGCAAACACACATGAATTATGAGTTCCTTATCTTTTCTTATGGGGTTCAGGAAGTGTTGTTTATACATCTAGGGTTTCTGAATTTCGAGTATTATGCACACAAATGTTAGAAAAAATATGGTCAACCAGCTCAAATATGGTCCGATTCCAGTTCTCAAAGCCCTCAACTCCGATTGGCATGTAATTAAGGCTGAACAGGTACCACAATCCTTATTTTTCTATTTGTATATCTTTGTTTCTCTATTTACATATTTTGTGATTATATTATGATTGTTCAGACCTTCTTGGAAAAATCTTATTCTGTATGATGTATGATTGTAACAGTTGCTAATAAACTAATGTTTGAGGAACAATGGAGGTTTGTATCAAAAAGCAAAAATGTTGGGTTCCTATTTGTTTACTTTAAGGTTGGAATGTTGGACCCCCCAAGAGAGGAAGTTAGAGAGGTTGCTAAGAAAGGAATTGACTAGAATGATGCTAACAATTGGGTTGTAGAGGTTCATAACATGCTTAACAAATATGCACATAAAGTGTTTGTAGAAATGCCAAAGAGAGAAAAAAAAAGTTGTGAAACTGTTAAAACTATGGTGACAGTATTCAAGCTAAGAGGTTCTTCACCAAATTCATCCAGAATGAGGTAGTCCATGAAATTAGTATCAATCCTAATGTAATTATCTATAATGAATGACCATGGATTCTCTTGCAGTCTTGTAATACATCCATTTGTTTCCATGTCTGCTACTGAACATGTGATATATGACTTCCGGTTTTGTGCACTTCTGGCTGTTGCAGGCTCATTAGCTGGCTCCTTGCTATGCTTTCCTGATGTAATAATTCTCTATACACTCATTTATTTTAGTAAATTTATCTATAATTCTATTTTATGTGTTTCTATTGTTATGTTTGGATGAATCAAAGTGATCTTGACTTTATTAGATGTTCCTAGGGCTGTGTTTATGTTGCTGATGCATATAAAATCTAATGGACAAGCTGCTTGAAAGGATCTCTTTCAGGGAAAATGGTGGTGTTTTTGGTTAAAGCAATAGGTGAGTCTACTAGCTTTTACATTTTGCCCCCATAGAGGTCATTCAGACGAACCTCACTCCAGGTAGAACTAAGGAAAATAGAGGTCATTCAGACGAACTTCACTCCAGGTGTAAGCTTGTTCGACAGTACATTCAAACGACCCTGTATGATATGTTTTCCCAGAGGGGTATTATTATCAAACCAAGGTGCATGATCATTATACATCACATCCCATGCAGCCATGAGAAGCCCTCGAGAATCAGGCACCAACAATGGAGCATTGTTGAGAGAACCTTTAAGAAGTATTATTCAAACATTGATCTCTCTGATTGGCAATCTGAAACAGCTTCTAGAACACAAAGGAAAAAACTCAACAGATCTTCTGAAAGTGGTGACCCTTTCACATCTTTTTGTAACATAAATATAACATTAGCATAGTAAAAAAGGTCAAAAGAAAGCCGAACTCCAAGAGCAAGAAGCAAATCTCTGAAAACAGATAATTCAGATGGGACAACATACAAGTATGGACTGTATTTTACAGGTGAATCAAAAGCAAGAGCTTCAATAGTTACAAAATCATCTCCAATCCAAACCCATGGAACATTATTGAGAGAACCTTTAAGAAGGTCAAAGTCATCAGTGCCAACATATTCTTGCAGATTTGAGAAAACAGTAAAGTTATTTAAAATTTTTCTTATATTTTTAATACTTTCTATATATATATATATATATATATATATATATATATATATATATATATATATATATATATATATATATATATATATATATATGATACGTAATTAACTGATTGTGTTCATTCTCTTGAGGGCTAATTTTGTAATTTCACCTTTTTTATTTCTCAGGCCGATAGCTAGGAAGAAGCCATAAATATTTCCAACATAAATAAGTAAATTTTATTCCTCTCTTTATGTTTAAAACAAACTCCCATCTGTTTTGCTTCCATTATTTAAAATAATTTAAAAAAAATTCTGCAGATAGTAGCCAGTAGCACATGCAAGTTGTACTATATATGCAGTATCCATATTTATAAATTTTACCAAGTGTGTTGATGGGAGACACTGGTGTCTGGAAGAAGATAACAGAGGATGTACACTGTGCTACTAGATTTACCATTTGTAGTATCATATACAATACCTGTCACTCCTCTCCACATACACTGGTGTAGGTCAAAAGTTTTGGGTGGAGGTGGAGGCTGAGCTTGTCAATACCACAGGGGCTGCAACGGATACTCGGAAAATAAGGTTTGTGACTTGTTTCTTAAGTTGCCTACACAAATTTATTGTGTTATGTAGTAATAAATTTATTTTCTTTCTCAATTGAAAATAAGGTTTAAGAGATCGGTAATTGGATTGGGGTGGTGGGTGGGTTTGGATTAAAATTATTTTCTTTCTCAATTTAAAACTCAATCTGAAAAAATAGATAAGTTATAGTATTTTTATTTCAACCATCGACTAATTTGTAGTTGTGTACAACGAAAGAAAGAGGGGCTACTTGGCACTTGTTTGCGGAAATGCACTATGAAATCAATAGCCTGACCAACTGATGCCATCAGCCATAGCCATAGCCATATCCTTAGGAAAGAGAAACAATAACTAACTGAACTGCAAGGAGCAATATAAAATAACAACCTATTTCCTCATACTGAAGAACAACATTCTACCATGTTTTCCAACTCAGGGTTTAGGGTTACACCACACATCATTTTTGCACAATATCAAGAATTTTGTACTGCTAACATCGTGTGGATTCATTTAGCTAAACATTCATGAGTCAATTAACACTACTAAAAAAAGAAAGGAGTATTCAAAGAAATCTAGACAGACACAATTACAGATATCTATCTAGACAAGAGGAGGGTTATCGGTACTCTTCTATGTAGGGGTTTGGAAGTTCCTCATCTTTAGCTGGTCTTATATTTGTACAGGTCTGAACAAATTTAGCATGTCATCATATATACTGCAAGTATAGAAACTAAACAAATAAATTATTTTCCCTAAGCATCAATACATATATATCGTTTAATTCATCATGCTTTCAAATAATTGGGATGAAAGAAGCATTACTATTTTATCTTATGATATAGTAACGGATTCAGTGTCATGTGGCACTTACATCTATTAAATTAAATTACTTCTTAAATAAATAGTGCAGAAAGCCCCTTCCCTCCCTCCCTCCCTCCCTCCCTCCAATATTTATTGTACTTTCTCCAAAACAGAAACACATTAAGAGATCATGAAAGAATAGAAAAAAAATTGGAAATCTTATGCTACCGACCGATTTCAAGAAGCAAGCATAAAGTAACTGAGTTGTGTTTCCGGCCACCACTCTAATCTTAATGGTAGCAGCTGATGACTTCATAACTATACTAACAATAATAGCCTCTAACCACTCTAAATTTTATGCTACGGACTGATTGTTTAGAAGGATCTGGAATCTGTCAAAGGAATTGGAATTTGAAGGAATTCCAATCTATTCCGCCTTTGGTTGGCAGAAATGGGAATAATTTCAATTTCATACTTTTTTATGTTTCTGTTTGGTTTGTTGTATTTTTTGTCAATTGATTTGGGATTTAAAATGTGACTTTGACAACATTACCATTTTCTAACTTTTCATCAAAAAAACTTTTATAAACAAGAAAAGAGATATCTAAGTTAAGGTTGGTAGATTGATACAACAACATTTTCTTTTGGTTTGTATAAGAATTTGTCGTGATTTTTTCTTACCATTTATGTGTTCATTTCAAAATTTGCAGCTGCCGCAACAGCTCCTATTCCTTCAGCAGGTAATAATCATTTCAATGTGTTTCATCCTCCTTTCCTCTACCAAAGTGAAAAAGTTTAAACATCATTTATCCGGACCAGACACACACACAGTTGATGGGAAAATAAGAAACTAGTTGCTTCTTTATCCTTTTTCTTTTTAGTTATTTTTAGTGGTTAATTTCATTCCCTTGTTGTGTGTCTAGTCAACACTATAGTAACACTTGGTAGAGAATGGTTGGAGGATTGTAGTGTTAAGTAGGATTAGTTGGGTGGGGTTTTGTTGGTTGGTAAATTTGTTGACTATATCTAGCAGGTTTTAAGTGGTTTGTTTGTTCCTTTTGTTTCAGGCAGAAGTGCAACTTAATTTCCAGAAAAGTAGCGACCATGGAATCTTTTCTTTGTTACATCCAAGGTTCAGCGGTGTGTTAGGCGAAGCTCTAGACTTGGTTGCTAGATGGAGCAGGGATGTGGTTAGTAGTTGAGTTAAATCAGATGTTTTGTTTCAAATAATAGTTATATATTTAGTTTTTCCTTTGATAGTTTAATGTTAGTTTGGTTCAGATAACTGTTGAGAAGGTTGTTTTGGAACAAAGCAATAGCCAGTATGAGCTTCAAGGCGAATACGTGTTGCCCAGGTCACGAGCTGGAAAAGAAACAGGAAAAGGGAACTTACTAAGAAGAGAAATGGCTGGTCATTTAGGGAGTGTGATATCTTCTATGGGTCATTGAGAATGAGGCTTGAGGTTCCACATGCTGAAATTGATGAGATGCTTCCACTTGCTAGGCTTATTTCCCGAAGTACCGATCTAGCTCTTCAGTTTAGATCAAAGGTCATCCTCATTCATTCATTCATTTATTAAGTTTTATTTTATCATCCAAACCCAAAAAGCTCTCATCTAAATCTAATGTCTTCTATGTGCAAATCACATGAGAATGAATGAATGAATGCCCTCTACCAAAATATAGCAAACACAACCAATCCTAATCCTGTTCATATACCATAAGAGAAAGTAAAGTAGGTTCCTTTCCCATACATTTGTTTGGTAAACAGAGTAAATAAAGTAGGTTGCTATTTGTTGCAAAGCTCTATCTAGTCTAGGGGTATATAAATATTATATGATTTTAGGTGACGTTGTTCCCCATTACCTTAATGTTGATCTTGCATTGGGAGATATACGTGTTGCAAAGTGTATCAAGTCTGACTACCCATGTGTCCCATTGGAGGAAGCTCAAGGTTCTTTACTTCTCTTACACTGTAATAATCCATCTTCACACTTATTTTGTAGTTATGTTTTTTTTTTTTTTTTTTGCAGGCAATATAGATACTTTGAGCAAGTTCATACATTTAGAGTCCTTGAACGGTGTTACTAAGGAGGAGTGGAGACAAGTGAGGCACACATTTAAAAAAATCAGCACAAATCTTGTTTACAGTGAGGCACACATTAGGTTATTAGAACTATTAGTTTGTAAATTTTTATTACAACTTCTATTGATTTGTTTTATCTTTCCATGGAACGATTATTTGTATGACATTAAATTTATGCAATGGATTCTATTTTTTGTATATGATATTTTATTTTCTATTATGAAACATTAAATACAAATTTAATTTGAAAATAAGTAAATCTATAAATACTATTTTTTTTGTAAACATTTAAAATTATGATACGCAAAAATGTGTGTCATCTTCATTTATGACATGGCCTTTCTTGACAGGGGCTTTCTTGATACGTATTGCGTGTCATTAACATGCATGTCGTAAGGTTACGACACGCGAATGCGTGTCGTCTTCCTTTATGACAGGGTCTTCCTTGATACGCATTGCGTGTCGTAAACGTGCGTCGTAATGGCGCGTCGTAAATGAGTGTCGTAAATGCGCGTCGTCTCTCTTTATGACAGGGCCTTCCTTGACGCGCATTTGCGCGTCGTCTGAGCCTTTTACGACGCGCAATGAGCGTCGTAAAAGGCTTTTTTTCTAGTAGTGTCAATCCATAATAATAAATTTATTATGTTTTATCATCAAACCATTAACCCAATTACTCATCCCCATTATCTTCTTTATTTCTTAAGGATTTACCCTAAGAATCATCTATCACTCATTCCTAAGGATTCATCCTAAGGAATAAGCATGAAGTCTCATCGTCGCCAGCGTTTATTTAACATGCACTAAGACAATAGCTGCTAGGGTTTATACAACACGCACTAAGTCCATAGCTACCTGGGTTTATACAACATATGCTAAGTCTATAGCTCTCATTTATTTACAGTATTATTTTCGATAGTCCACTCGCAATACATGTCAATGGGTTTTTAGAGTACATCTGATGAACATATTGTTCACATACCTGTAGGCTGCGAGCCTACTAGTGTTCCACGGACTGTCTAGAATAGTCCAAGGTTGTCATCCATATTTTGCTAGATGACGGGGCCAACATTTGGGTAAGAGCTTCTCTCATTTTTTTGCCTCTCACCCTCATCTCATATTCTATATCACTTTTCATCTTACCATCCAACTCATCTTTCTTCACAGATCAACTATTTAATCTACCCATGTTCTACCCAACATATTTGTAGATATAAAATACATATACAATTCAGACCTGAAAAATAAAGTTTAAATCTTTCATCCAATATAGATCTCACGTAAATAGATAGTATGCACACACATAGCACGTAAATTATATAAAACACTTCATATCTATGTGTAAAATGAAAGTAACTATGCACTCACCTGATAAGGTGGTGATTCGGACATCACTTCGTTATCTAAAATAATATTGTTTGATGAACCCGGGAGGTTTGCTCAAAAACTGGGTTTTGTGCAGGGTAGAGTTTCGACCTAAAAACTCTTTTTCTCGAGTCTTTGGGTGCTTCGGGGTTTGCTTCAGCTGTTAGGGTAGTATTTTAGGTTTAAGGGTATTTACTGCAGCATACAAGATTGTATAGGGTGGAAGAATGAAAAGTTTGTAAACAAATTTCGGACAACTTCGTTCACTATTTATAGTGGTTGGACACTCGTGTTACGTTGGGTGTAACTCTATGGTACGCGGGGTGTACCGCTTCTTCACCCACTACGCTGGGTGTACTGTGTACATCGAGTACGTTGGGCGTATGAAGAGATTATCTGGGAGGCGTCAAGGCTACAAAAACGTGTCAACCAGGCAATGGAGTAGGCTACGAGGCCAAATATGGACCGTGAACACAATAGTATGCTGGGCGTGCATACCTTGTACGCAGGGCGTACATATTTATACGCTAAGAATGCCAGTTGGTACGCTGGACGTTCTTCCAACCTCAACGTTTGTGCCCGAAACTTCAAAAATTCATATCTTTCGCATACCTTCTCCGTTTTTGAAGTTCTTTATATCCACGTGTAGGTGAAATTATGCTCTATCGATGAAGGTGAGGTTCCAATAGAATATGAAATATTATATTTTGAAGATGAGCAATGATGCTTGTTGATATGACAACATTAGAAATTATTTTTTTATCGACATGAAAAACAACAAATGGTAATACTGGAAATCCCATTACCGCCTTTTGCAGTCGATGAGTGCAGAAAACTGGCCTTGTATAATATGAAAAAGCTCATAATTACGATGTTCGAAGATATACAATAGTTTGTGAACACGATGGGCATCATCAAAGAAGCACGTAGGACAACTCCAACAATTGAAGATCGAGTCCAAATGAATGATAATGGGTTCATTTTAATTGAGACCTATAGGGAGTTGTTTGAAAATAACGTAGAGCCAACCATTTTGCACCAGATGCAAGTTCCCGATTATCCTAGAAATATACTCTAATTTTAAATATAGTGATGCCTTTTGAAATATAAAATGTAAAAATAGGCTTATCTAAAATGGAAATGCTTTTCTTTAGCATTAGTACAAAAATCGTTATAAATCCTAATACATATTTATATTGGTTTCCAAAAATTAGAAAATTGTAACAGATACATATTTTGTTCATGGTTGATAAAATCTCCTATATTTCTAACAACATGTATCAGATGGTCCCGTTATACACAAAGCTTATCAGTCTCCGCATTTGCATCTTCAGTCCACTTCTCAGCATCTTTGACTTTTTTTCAGAGCTTCAAGAAGCTCTTTTTCTTTTTCATTTAATTATTCAGCTAGATTGTTTGCATTTTGATTTAGCATTTGGGTTATTTTAGAGTCTCTTTTGTTTGCTTCTTTCGCAACCTTCATAGCTTGGAAAATGTCATTAGACATTTTATCCAGGAGTGGGAAATCTGATCCTTCCAGAAACAAGTTAATAAGTGAACAAACATAAGAATATTCTTCTTTACATTGCTATTCACCAAACTCATATGAACTCAATGTTAACTTTTTTCTACTTTCATTATGTGATGCACGCATACTAATAGTAACAAAATTTACTATTTCCGAAATAATATCCAAAATGTTGTTTCCGGAACGTGTTCTCCAGAATTTGGTGTCCGAAATATGGTGTCTAAAATGTGACATCTCCATTTTCACGGCCAGAAAAGACAGATTTGATTATACTTTATTTGAAAATCAGAGTATATATTTAAAGAAATATATTGCGGAATTTTTCCCCAGAAAAACATGATACATTTATTATCAGTGCATTTCCGAAGAAATGTATTTTTTTTCATATTAAAACTTTGGGATTTCATCGTCAATACAGAAACATAAGCATAAACAGAACATACATTCATTTATATAGGAATCTACATATCTTTGAATTTGTTGGTGTGGTGTGGTTTTATATCGACACCTGTGATACTAATAAACTCAGCGGGTCAGGTTGGAAAACCTAGTGACTACATACGGTATTCAATCCATAATAATAAATTTATTATGTTTTATCATCAAACAATTAACCCAATTACTCATCCCCATTATCTTCTTTATTTCTTAAGGATTTACCCTAAGAATCATCTATCACTCATTCCTAAGGATTCATCCTAAGGAATAAGCATGAAGTCTCATCGTCGCCAGCGTTTATATAACATGCACTAAGACAATAGCTGCTAGGGTTTATACAACAGGCACTAATTCCATAGCTACCAGGGTTTATATGACATATGCTAAGTCTATAGCTCTCATTTATTTACAGTATTATTTTCGATAGTCCTCTCGCAATACATGTCAATGGGTTTTTAGAGTACATCTGATGAACATATTGTTCACATACCTGCAGGTTGCGAGCCTACTAGTGTTCCACGGACTGTCTAGAATAGTCCAAGGTTGTCATCCATATTTTGCTAGATGACGGGGCCAACATTTGGGTAAGAGCTTCTCTCATTTTTTCGCCTCTCACCCTCATCTCATATTCTATATCACTTTTCATCTTACCATCTAACTCATCTTTCTTCACAGATCAACTATTTCATCTACCCATTTTCTACCCAACATATTTGTAGATATAAAATACATATACAATTCAGACCTGAAAAATAAAGTTTAAATCTTTCATCCAATATAGATCTCACGTAAATAGATAGTATGCACACACATAGCACGTAAATTATATAAAACACTTCATATCTATGTGTAAAATGAAAGTAACTATGCACTCACCTGATAAGGTGGTGATTCGGACATCACTTCGTTATCTAAAATAATATTGTTTGATGAACCCGGGAGGTTTTGCTCAAAAACTGGGCTTTGTGCAGGGTAGAGTCTCGACCTGAAAACTCTTTTTCGCGAGTCTCTGGGTGCTTCGGGGTTTGCTTCAGC